TCGCCAGGGCAGGAAACTTGTCTTTCTACATATTTGTCAAGTATCATGTGCATTTAAGGAGATAAATAAATAATAAATATTACACAGTCAGAATGAACGTGTTAAATAAATACCTTAGGTATTATCTCTAGGTTCTAATTACATGAAATCTATGGACATGAGATGTATAAATAGAGGGCTGGCTACAAAATAGTAAAATTACATTTTTGGTTGCTTTATATTGGTAACAGGCTGTAAGTGTGGATGGGTAGCCTACAAATTTCCTATCCTCCACTCCCTAAGAGCAGAGCCTCAGCTATCAGTCACGTGGGAGATCATACCCAAATTTTGAGTCATTGATCAAAGATTAGCCCCGTACACTTTCCTTCCCCTGTGATATTGCCCAGAGCCAATTGCTGAAACCACTCAGGTGGGCATTCCTTTAGCAGAAGTAGGTTGTGCTTTACAATTCCTTGCCTGTGCCTATATTATTTCTTTTCTTTTCTCTTTTTTTTTTAGTATAAAATCTTATTTATTTGTCAGTCTGAGCATTTCTACCCTTAATATGTTATTTCTTAATTGTTTTATAGGTCTGGCTCTCTTTAACTAATCTCTAGGCTCCTAGAAAATACCTTTACTTCCCTTTATTCGCTCGCAATATTGATCACGTAATCTGTGCTACAGAATTACTTTGTTTTCACTTGGAAAGCCCCCAGAAGATGGTCCCTCCTTGTAAGGTTTTGACTAATTTCTCATTTCTTTTTAATGTTTTCAAGCTGTGTATATAAAATATTGCCAACATATAGACAAGAATGAAAACATAGTATGATACTTATGTAGCCAGTACCTGGATTAAACAAATATTCATATTTTACCATATTTTCATCCACCCTCTCCTTTGTGTTTAAATGTTACAAACACAGAGAAAATCACCCTCATTCCTTCTCTTTCCCTCCATCCCTCAAGAAATCTTTCATTCGCATCTAAGATTTTTGACTAGTACAGGCATAATGATCTATAAACTATGTACTATTGTTTCATGTGTTTTAAAATTTTACATCTTTGGTGTTATTGTATATATATCATGCTGCACCTTGCCTTTTCCATACAAGCGTCTATTCCTGAGATTAGTCCACCTCAATATTCATGGATCCAGTTCACTCCTTTTAGCTCCTGAATAGGAGTCCATGGATCGATCCACCCATTTGCCTTTGGAGGGGCAGTGTAGTCATTCACAACTTTTGATGTTCTAAGCAGTGCTGCAGTGAACATTGGTAAACATCACTCCTGGGGTATAAACTTCTGCAGGATGTTTGATGGAGAACAGCTTAGGTTCTGAAGCCCAACTACCCACTCCAGTTCCAAGCTCTACCACAAAGACCCAACAGTGGAGTCTTGAGCATGTATCTTAATTTCTCTGTGCCTCCTTCAGTAAAATTAGAACAATGGAAGCATTTCCTTCCAGAGAATAAAGCAGTGAGAACAGCATCTTCACCAAGTAAGTACTCAGTATACAACAACAGTTATTATTGGGGCGACCACCTAGGTAGGAAGAGGGTCCGAGCATCTTTGGCTTTACAAAGTATTTCCAAATTGATGTCCAAAATGTTGTACCAATTTACATTATCACCAGCACTGTTTGACTTTCTGTTCCCTACATCCTTTCCAGGACTTGGCATTAGCAGGGATGGCTCCCTAATCTTTTCAAATGCAAGACAATCCAAGAATGAGATGAGAGAATGGGAGGAGGCAGAGGTGTGCTAGTAATAAGTAATCAGAGAGAGCAAATGACCAGCAGGAGCAAAAGGAATGGGCTGGGAGGATTGCAAAAGTGGAGGAAAGTGAATTCTTTTAGGTAAGAAATTTAAAAATCATTCAGAATCAGACTCAGGGAAATTGGAGCTTTACAGAAAATAAGGAGGCATGGTGCTAAAGAATAATGTCAAAAGACAGAGTGTGTGATGTGAGTAACGCAGAAACTCAAAAGACAACAGGCCTTTTGGGAATCTGTTGGTGATTTCTCCAAAAGGGTCTGTGAGGTGGTGTAAGTAGGGACAGGGCAACTCTTTCTGAAAAGGGACAAGGCGAAAGAGAGAGTAGCAAAATGTCAGAGTTTGTAGAGTAGCCGAGGTGAGGAGATGGAGTTTCAGGGAAAGAAGTAAGTCGGCAGTACTTTTTTTTTCTGGAGACCGAAGGACCAGAGTCACCCATATGATGCAGTGTCAGCCTCTGCAGCATCTCTCTGATTTCTTTCTTCTGCTTGGCTTCTGTGGGCTCTGCTGCACTGCACGTGCTGATTTTCTCACGCTCGCGCGGCTACAGGGGCTGTCGGTGACGTACTGAACTATTCCTGCTTATGAATGCAAGAACTAAGGCTCAGATGATTCACTAACCCGCTCAAGATCACGCGTCTTGAAAATGCTGCAACCAAGACCAGAGCCTAAGTGTTCCAATGCCAAGCCTTGGAAACCCTTAGCCTTAGCCATGAAAAGAATTCATGGTCATCTTAAATCTTTCAACCTCAACCCTAAAGAAGGTCCCATTTTTCTCCCAAGACAATCACAACTTCTCTGTTTGACTTGCAAGGACTTCCACTAGTTGGCACTTGTCGCTCAGTCCTCTTTCCCAAAACATCCTGGCCATACTCTCATGGCTCCACCCGAAAGCATGTCTTAGCTGATTCATGAGGTCACCAAGTTCATTCTCACCTCTGTGCCTTTGTTCCTACTATTCCCCTCTCTCAGAGACACAGCCCTCCTTTCCCTGTCATTGCTATAGGCCCTGTTCAAGGCTTAGACCTTCTGCGATGGCTTCAGTGCACACTATTTGGACTGCCATACTGATGTTTCATCATGAAACATGATTCCATTGTACATTCTCTCAAATTATCCTCAAATTGTTACCCTATGCCACGAAACACAAAGCAGATCCCTGGAGGCAGTCATTTACTTGCTTTGTGTTTTCTTACCCACTCTTTCTTGTTATACAGGAATTTTTCAATTACCCTTAGCCTAACACTGAACACATATCAGGCGCTCCATAAATACCTGATGACTGATGAAATATAGAGGGATCATAATTAATAGGAGATATGAAATACAAAGACTTCGGAAGTTATGATAAAATCGGTAATCAAGATAAAAGCCTATTGGGCATGGTAGGAAATTTAAATGACAAAGTTATGAGGCAAACTGGTCAAAAAGATGCAGAGACAGAAATCAATACCAGACCAAACCATCCCATTTTCTGTTCCCTCTATGATGACTCTGGTTTTCTGGTACTCTGCATTATAAGGGAAGTGACTTCTATTCACTACTTAGCAAACAGGCTCACCCACGCTCAGAAATAATCAGTATTATCTGCAAATGAGGATCACATTTTGTGTTCATGCAGCCAAAGCTATATTTAACATTTTATGAAGTGATGCAAAAGATTTTGTGTGTATTCTATTCCAATTTAATGATCACCTTGTTGGTGAAGAAATATCAAGAAGATCCTAGCCTCTGCTCTTGGGGAGCTGAAAATGTGTGTGATTAGGGTAAAGTACTCCTTTCTATGCACAAGTAACATGTAGACAAAGCCAAGTTCATATAACACTATAAGTATTTCCATGTTGAGGTGATACTGATAAAAAGAAATAACAAGAATTATGTGGAAGATTTCCGAAAGAAAGTCTGTAAATAAGATGAACTTAATTTCATGGCGAGGAAAGAGGAAATATCCTAGTGTGTACAAAGTTGGAGAAGTAGGAGCCAATACTTTAGCATAGTGTATCTGATAAGAGTACAGTGATGGTAGTAGTGGTGGTGATAGTAGTAATAGTAGTAATATTCCCATTTAATAATGGGAGATGAATGGCTGGACACTTACACTAACTTGCCCTAAGTCATAAAGCATGTTACTGGCACAGCTAGGAGTGGTATTTTGGGAACACTTTACATCATGAAACACTAAAGCTGTATGTTTTTTCAATACATGCCAGGATTCCTAGGAACTTCTTGGACTACAATGAGTAGAAACTAAAATATATGCTTAAAAGGCCTGCTTCATAAATATTGCAAATGACTGGACAAGGAGCCTTCTTATTCCTCTACTGCAGGCAATCAGAGTATTTAAAAGGAAAAAAAAAAGAATCATTAGCAATGTTTCCCGAGGGAGAATATAGACCTCAAGCTTGTGCCAGAATTCCACATTATTACCTGAATTCAGAGATTATGGGTGTGTTTTGCCCACACCCTGCATTTTTGGGAACACAGGCCCTGCTGTTATGTAAGAAGATAACGTGACTCGTCTCTTCATGAGAGAGCCCTTATTCTGATCCATAATATATTTCTTTTCATTTTTTAAAAGATTTTATTTATTTATTAATGAAAGACCAGAGAGAGAGGCAGAGACACAGAAGCAGGCTCCCTGTAGGGAGCCCGATGACGGACTTGATCCCAGGACCCCAGGATGACGACCTGAGCCAAAGGCAGACGCTCAACCACTGAGCCACCCAGGTGGCCCCATAATATGTATTTCTTAAATGTGCTTACCTTAGCCATGCTGACAGATGTATCACTCAGATGGACACACATCTATGCATCTTGATGGCTGCCCACTCCTGTAAATGGTAGCTCTTACACAACACAGGAAAACCACTTGGAGTGACTGGTTTACTTGTTTTCATCATCTACAGAACCATAGAATGGGGAGGACTCAAAATAGAGGAGTAACTGGTTTTAAATACAATATGCTTTTTGCCCCAGACCACAACCAAGAAGAGCCCCATGCACCACGTTACAGTATGGGCCTTTGTTAAGACTTCTATTTCCCACCTGTATTTCTTTTTCTTTTTCCAACAACAGTCTGTCTCTGTGCCAGCTCTAAATAACCATAAATTTTGTTCTTATAAACCTTAATGAATGCCTGGCCAAGATGCTGTAACTATTGGCTTCTACGTTGGAGCATAAATGGAAAGGAAAAAAAAAAGTGTGCACAGTGAAAAACTGGATAAAATGGAAAAAAGATCACAGCAAACCCAAAGTCGCAATTTGCCTTTAATGTGAAGGAGGCCTTGTTTTCACGGTGTGGCAGCTTTCAGGGGTTTTAATCTCAAAGTGGCTGATCAATTTAAGGTAAGTGGCAGGCATTTGGCCTGGTTCCCAGGCTTGGCTTTGCTGCTCTGAGAAAAGAAAGGATTCAGTCAGACACACAGACAACAGGCATCATCGGCGGCTCCCACATTCCAAGCATTTTAACACAGATTAGGTTGGCATGATTCTACTGTTTACTGAAATCTCCTAGGTGTTGCATTTTTCCTTCTCCTTGCGTGGTTATCCGAGATGGTTTTCCCAGGTCAGGACCTTCATATGCCAAATAGCTGGCAGGGCTGTGAAGGGAAAAAGAAGAGCATGGGTCAAGACTTCTGATTCAAACGCTATTTCACTTGCTCCCTGCAAAATCTGAGACTTCAGACAGCAGGTAATTGAGCACTGAACTTTTTGCCTTAGGCATACATCGAGACAGGAACTGTTTTACATGCATTCCTGAGAGGGGGGGGACGAAGATAATTTCTTTAACAAGGACAAACTTAATTCAGCTAGAAATGCCCAGTGGATTAACAGGGTGATTTGTGGTTATTTTCTCTTCAGATTTTATAAGCCTGAGCCTTTTATATGTGTGGAGCAATATGGCAACCGATACAGTCCATGTTTTAAATTAACATTTTCACATGAAATGTTCTTTACTTTTTCAAAGCAGTTAATATTAAAAGAGCTCGATGGATCCCTTACCATTATCTCATTTTTTATTTTAGCCAAAGGGAATTTTCTTAATCCACTTGACCTGAGTTAAATAAAATAGGCATTCAATTGATCCAACCAAAAAAAAAAAAAAATGTTAGTTGTCTTTCATGTACTTTTTTTTGGTTATATTATGCCTTATGGAAATTTTATATTTTAAAATGTATTTTCACAGTTTCTAAAAATACTTTATCACACCTTAATATAGTCAACGCTTTTCCTTTAATCATCCTCATGACAGATTTCCTCATTTTTTTCTCTCTAAGAATTTTATTAAAATAAATAAGATGTATTTCAAAAATAATTTTCCAACCATTAAACTTTTCTTTCTTTCTTTTTCTTTCTTTCTTTCTTTCTTTCTTTCTTTCTTTCTTTCTTTCTTTCTTTCTTTCTTTCTAAAGATCTTATTTATTTATTTGGGAGAAAGGGTGAATGAGAGAAAGCACAAGTGGTGGAAGGAGAGGGAGAAGTGGACTCCCCTGCTGAGCAGGGAGCCTGGCAAAGAGCTCGATCCCAGGACCTGGGAATCATGCCCCGAGCCAAAGGCAGATGCTCAATGGACTGAGCCACCAAGGCACACCATTATTAAACTTTTCAAAGGCAATGTCCAAATTATTATACTTAACATACCTGCTTAACATTTTAAAAATTTACATTGACAAAATTCTTCCAAAATCAACATTTTTGCAGTTGAGTAATTATATTAAGAATGTGTCTAGGAGGGCTGCATGTATTTTATGCATTTATTTTAATTTGTGTTATTATATGTGCAAGTGTGATTTTAAAAATCAATATGGGATTCTTCATGGATTAGAGGAAAAAAAGAGATAAATGGGATGCCTGAAACTGCAGCAGCCATCTTGCAACCATGAAGAGAGCTAGCCCAAGACACCAAGCTGGCATACTGAGGGTGGCAGACAGGGAAGATGAAGAGACCATGGCTCTCAATTATGTCATTGACCTGCAGAATCAATGATCCTGAAACTTGGGACTTCATCTTATATAAGATAATAAATTCCCTTTCATTCACTTACGAATATTTGTTGAGCACCTACCATGTGCGATGCTCTAGGCACACTGTCCTAGATGCTTGAATATCTCAGTGAACAAAATACATAAGAGCCTTGCCCTGTGGAACTAACATTCTAGCCAAGAAATATATTAAAATAAAAACATAAATAAGAAAGTTCTACTGTATGTTACAAAGCAGTAAGTGAATAAAATGTAAAAGTCGAGCATAGTAAAAAGGAGACAGGTGTTGGTGTTGAATAAAGTGAAAGTTGGCCAGCCTCACTGAGGAAGTGAGATTTGAGCAAATACTTGAAGGAAATGAAGAAATTATTCTTTAAGCCAGTGAGAAGTAGGTTATTTGGTTTTTAATTTTTCTTATTATTAAAAACCCTCTAAATGAGAAGGTGGGCCAAGATATATGGATTCTTGGAAGATATCTAATGCCAGTTCCACTCAATTCTTCCAAATCCCTGTGAGCCAGAACATGTCTTTCTTTGTTTAAGTTTGGGTTGGGTTTCTGTCTCTTGCCACTGAAAGAGACAGGCTAGTAAATTTAAGTTGGTCACAAATAAACTAGTTCTGGTTCCACGGAGAAGTCCAAATCGATACTGGTTCGTAATTCCATCCTCTATGTCATGAGCTTGCTTTTCCATACTGGGGATGTCTAAGCATCCATAAAAAACATGACTTAGTAATCCAGACAGAGTGCTATTGATGAAAGAAGAAATAAGTCAGTGGCAGAAAACAGAGAGCTTGTAAATAACTCCAATAAATGTAGTTAACTGACCTTCGACAAGCAACAAGGCAATACAGTAGAGAAAAGACAGTCTCTTCATCGAATGGTGCTGGAACAACTGGACATCATATGCAAGAAAAGTAAAGCTAGACACAGATATTATAGCCTTTACAGAAATCAACTGAAAATCACAGAGGTAAATATAAAGCAAAAAAACTACAAAATTCCTAGAAGATGACATAGGAGAAAAGCTAGATGACCTTGAGTTTGTCAATGGCTTTTTACAGAGTCATTATCCATAGGGGGAAAAAAAGGTAATGTAGACTTCATTAAAATTAAAAACTTCTGCTCTATGAGAGACAATGTCAAGAGAATGAGAGACCAGCCACAGACTGGGATAAAATATTTGCAAAAGACACATCTGATAAAGAGATGTTATGCAAAATACACAAAAACTCTTAAAAGTCAACAATAAGAAAACAAACAACTTAATTTAAAAATGAGCCAGGGGCACCAGGGTGACTTAATCAGTTAAGCATCTACTCCTGATTTCAGCTCAGGGCGTGATCTCAGGGGTGTGAGAGGGAGCCCCACACTGGGCTCTTATTTGCCTATGCTCTTTCTCCAACAAACAATGAGCCAAAGACCCTAACACACACACACCTCGCCAAAGAATATACACACCTGAAAAGTGAACGTATAAAAAGATGCTCAACAACACATGTCATCAAGACAATGCAAATTAAAGTAGCAATGCGGCACCATCTGTCTTCAACTCTGGTGATGATCTCCAGGTCCTGAGATGGAGCCCCTCATCGGGTTCCCTGCTCAGCAGGGAGTCTGCTTCTCCCTCTCCTCCCTGCTCATGCTCTCTCTTGCTATTTCTGTCACGGTCTCTGTCTCTCAAACAAATAAATAAAATCTTTAAAAATAAAAATAAAATGGCAATGAGCTACCACTACACAACAATTTGAATAGTGAAAATCCAGAATATGGATGATACCAAATGCTGGCAAAGATATGGAGCAATAGGAACTCTCACTCATTGCAAAATAGTGCAGCCACTTTGGAAAACAATCTGGTGGTTTCATGCAAAACTAAGCATACTCTTATCATATGATCCAGCTATTACAAAGGCATTGAAAATTTATGCCTACACAAAAACCTATACACACATGTTCGTAGAAACTTTGTGTTCATAATTGCCAAAACTTGGAAGCCACCAAGTTGTCTTTCAGGAGGTTAATGGTTAAATAAACTATGATACATCCGGTCAATGGAATATTATTGAGTGCTAAAAAGAAACGAATACATGGAAGAACCTTAAATGCATATTAGTGAGTGAAGAGGTAAGTCTGAAAAGGCTATACACCAGATGATTCCACCAATATGACATTCTGGAAAAGCAAAACTATGGAGACAGTAAAAAGATCAGCAGTTGGGGAGAAATGAAGAGGTGGAGCACAGGGGATTTTTAGGGCAGTGTAACTATTCTAAATGATACTGTAATGGTTGATAAGTAACATTATGCATTTGTCAAAACCAAAAAAAGTATAGAACACTTTTACAGGGTTCACACTTTCTCACAGTGATGAACCCTTATGTAAACTATGGACTTTAGTTAATAATACATTAGAATTGGTTTATCAGTTGTAACAAATGCACCTCACCAAAGCAAGATGTTAATAATAGGGGGAACTGGGGAGGGGGAAGAAATATATGTTCTTTCTGTTCATTTTTCTGTAAACCTAAAACTGCTTTTAAAAAATAAAGTCTATTAAGGTGCCTGGCTGGCTCAGTTGGTAGAGTATGCAGTTCTTGATCTTAGGGCTTTGAGCTCAAGCCCCACATTGGGTATACAGTTTACTTAAAAATATATAATAAAAAAATAATAGTCTTTTTTTTAAGCACTAAACATAACAGGAAAGATTGACCATACAGATTTCTTACAATTTAAAACATCTTTTCATGGGACACCTGAATGGCTCAATGTTGGACATCCGACTCTCAATTTTGGCTCAGGTTATGATCTTGGGGTCATGGGATCAAGTCCCACTGGACACAGTCTGCTTGTTCTTCTCCCTCTGCTCCTCCCCAACTCTCTCTCTCTCTCTCAAACGAATAAATAAAATCTTTAAAAAAATAAAACCTCTATTCATCAAAATATACCATTAAGAGAATGAAAAGACAAGAAGTAATGTGGGATAAGACATTTTACATGGATAAATCATACAAAGGACTATTTCTAGACCATATAAAGATCTCTTATAAATTAATAAGAAAAAATTGACAGACTCAATTATTTTTAAGAAAGGATAAAAGACATGAATAGATTTTTTACAAATGAAAATATCCAAATGGCCAATGACCATGAAAATGTGCTCAACATCATTAGTTATCAGGAAAATGCAAGTTGAAAATAAAACAAGGTATCTCTACACACACTCCAGAATGGCGAAATTTTAAAAGGCTGACAATACCAAGTATTAGAGAAGATATAGACTGCCAGGAACTCTTAAAATGCTATGCAAACTGGCAAAACTACTTTGGGAATTTTGTTGCCAAGAAAGGTAAGCATACATACACCTACTCTATAACTCAGCAATTCAACCTCTAGGTGCAAATCCAAAGAAATGCATACATATGTGCACAAAAAATACTTACAAGAATATTCGTAGTACATTATTCTTAATAGAATCAAATGAGAGGGTACCCAAATGTCCATTAACAATGGAATGGGTAAATAAAGTATATGCATAACACAATACAGTAGTGAGTTTGTGTTACACATATTTCTATGTGTAACAACATGGTTGAATTTCAAAGATATAACATTTAGCA